AAAATGATTGAACACAGTTTTCTAAATGGATAGTAACCTTACCTGTGTTAATAAATCCAAAATGATTAAATTAAGATGTCTGTTTATGTATCTACTTGAGCTTCCTTAATTACTTAGGAACAAAGTAAATTCTACTTCTCACCAAAGTAGAATGATGTTGTCTTTTTATTAGTGTGAAGTTACATGTGTATTAGTGGTGTACATAAGAGCTCATCAGAATAAAATGATACCCAGTCTATTGGCAAAATGTTGAGACATATATAAGCAGGTGGGTTTTTTTAAAACTTCTGTTTTCATTAAAAAGCAAGCTGCTGTTATATTAATAGCACTTCTTCACCTCATAATCTCCAAATATCTTTATCCGGATTTTCAATCACATATTGATGGGAAAGTGAACAGATAAAGATAGATGTGAAAAGTACCATATGTCACGTTATATCCTACCTGGAGCAATGAAGGCAATGAAAATGTAGTTATAGGGGAGAGACTAACCTTTAATCCGCTTTAAACCACTGAGGCACACAAAACTCCCATTGGCTTCAGTGGGAGTTCTAGACATGAAGCAATGGCAAGTTTGGACCCTCATTTAGAACAGTTTTGGCCAGAACAGTAATCAGTCACTTTTCTTTCTTCCCTCCTCCCCCTTTAAAGGAGCCAGATATCAATTTTAACTTTAATGCAAGAAATTTCTTTTAATACCATATCCCAAAACAGCCAGCTTTAGCATCACAGCAGTGCTTCTTTCATGCCATTTTGGTAGCTAGAGAATGTCACTCAGCTCTTCTGCTGGACATTGGGTCAGAAAGGTGCCCATGAAACCAAATCCGCTCTCAAATATGTACATGCAATTGCTAGTCATTTCAGTAATAATGTGTATATGAGGTAGAATCTGACTTTGCAAGAGTACTACTTTTTTCTCCTGTTCCTTTTCCCCTCCCTAGACAGAGAGCACGCACACACAAACAGTCTAGTAAACTTTTTGTTTTCATTTGTATTCATTTTGTTTGTTTGTTTTTAAGTAGAATAGCATTGTGACACTGATTTGGCATAGCAAGTGCTAAGGCCTTTGAAATTCAGCTATGCACGAGACGACTTAGCTTACTAGTGCGGCTTATATTACTATAAAAACTAGTTATTATAAAAACACATTGCTCAGGTAACTATGTAGATAACTTGGTATTTTCCTTATTCGTTCTCTTTTTTATATCCTCACTAGTATTTTCAATCCCATTTCATTGGAAGATTCCCCAACCATTTTTGATTTTAAAGTGGAAAATATATATATGAGCCCTAGTTTAATACATTTAACCTCCCCATTGGTGTCCTTGAGAAAAGTCCATTTTATAATCTTTCTAGAGTAAGTACCACAGTTAAAGTCATTTGGTGACAAAACATTTCAGAAATTCCTATCTAACCAAAAAACCCTGTGCTTGTGCATACATTATTTGGGTTTCGGGACTAGTTATGGTATCAAGTTGCCATTATACAGAAGAATAAATTAAAGACTATATATATAATTTCATATTACGTTGTTATTTGTTAAGGTAGTAAAGCACTGAAAACTTATTTTTATTGTTATGTCTTTATATACATGTATGCTGTTTACATTGATACTAACTATAGGTTTGTTTTAATTTGCTCCTTCCATACCATTTACAAGCTTCCATAGTGACTGTAATACACCTTGTCAATGCTGTTGTTGACTCGGTGGAAAAAGAAGGTATATATGTGTTTTCACTTTTTTATTTACTGCTTTGGCAGAATATTGCATGTTTTTGTCTTGTAGTAATGTGGTAGTAAAGTAGATGGGCAACTATGAAATGTTGTTTACTGATCAGAAAATGTGTGTATTTTTAGTAGCGTCTGTTTTCCTGTTTTTGTGTGTATTCTCAGTACAGATATATAAAATGTATGGACAATTTTTCAAATGTGAGTGCCTAAATTTATGCACCTAACAAAATTTGGCCTGTTGTTTGGAGGTGCCTCCTCTCCACAAATACCTGTGCAGCATGCCAGGCACAATCCTAGTCCTTATAGTCTTGTTGCACAAGGCTCTATAGCATGTAGACAGGGTGGGGAGAGAGTGCTGCCATGGGCTAGTTGTCCTTCAAAACTGCGCAACAGAGCTGGGCCAGCAGTGAGGGGAGTTGGCACACATTGCACCAAGTAAAGGGAAGCGGTGGGGCTCGTGCATTCCGGCTGGCATTTTGCCTGCCTTAGGCACAATGGGCTTGATTCAAAGCCCTTTGAAATCAGTGAGAATCAACCCACTGACATCAGTGGTCTTTGGATCTGGGCCAGCGCACAGCCCCTACTCTCATCCTCACACACAAACACAACTTTCAATAATGTAATTATTTACACTCCATCATCTCCAGAAGATACAAAACATTGCCGATGAGTCTATCCCACTTTTTGATATATTGAGAATCTGTAACACAAAGACTACTTTCCTTATAAAATTATATGCTCAAAATATTGACTGTGGATCAAATCCCAGGCCCTTGCTTTGTGGCTGCAGAGGTCCCCCTACCTGCAAACCCAAGGTATTTCTGGTTTCTGAGCTGGATAATCAAGGTAGGGACTAGATAGTCAAGTCCATGCAGGAGTGCATACACTGTGAACTGCATGGAATCCCATTCCAGACCAGTTGCCTTCAGCAGGCCAGAGGAAGGGTGAGGGCAAAGATCCAATGCAATGAAAATAATCCATTCCTTCCCATCCCCTTCATGGATCTGCAGAGGCTGATTCAGGCATTGGGCTGAAATAGACTCCAGGGATCACCTACTGAGAAAAAGTGTATTCCTGCCCCTCTGAATAATCTGTATTCCTTAATTAGAAAGGATGTATTACGCTTTCCTAAAAAGGATTTAGCAATTAAAACCTTGTTCAGAGTGAAGCCACCTCTAGAATATAAAATTGTTTATTGTAGCTGTGGCTTCCATTTGAATTACTGCCCTATAAAAACTAAGTATTATGTAGTATTTAGAGTAAATATATAAACAGAAGGGCAAGTAGATTAAAGCACAGACTTCCCCTTCTAATTATAAGTGCCAGGAAAACATTTCACTAGTATACTTTTCTAGTGCTTGATCAAAGGTTTTCAAATTACAGTGTATTCCATCTATAATGGGCAGAGTTGTGAGAGTGGGTGGGAAGAAACCGTTGAAAGAATTAGACTAATGCAATTTTCTGTGGTTCTAATGGTTAGAAAGGAGAAAAAAATGATGTTTGTGGGATTTTTATTGGGAGTTACAAGTGATCTGAACAGTAGCCAAGTATCAAGATAAGATGGAGAGATGCAGACATTTAGTATCTTTAAAACAATTCTTCAGAGACTCAAGTTTTTTATTTTTAATCATTTAATATTTTACCTGGGTTGATATTTAAACTACCCTGAAGCTTTACCAAACACCCTGCAAATTTACATCTTCTGTATGCATTTAGTGGTAGACTTATGCTTAAAAAGAAAACCCAGAGCTCTGTTTATTGTAAGAAGAATTACACCTCTACCCCGATATAATGCAACCCGATATAACACGAATTCAGATATAATGTGGTAAAGCAGTGCTCCAGGGGAGCGGGGCTGCGCACTCCGGCGGATCAAACCAAGTTCGATATAACACGGTTTCACCTATAATGCAGTAAGATTTTTTGGCTCCCGAGGACAGCGTTATGTCAAGGTAGAGGTGTATATATAAAACCATGCAGAACAAAGAAGCAATTATCAGGCCAAATCCTGCCACCCTTATTCAGTCAAAACTCCCAAAAATTACTTTACTGGGAGTTTTGCCTAAGCAAGGACTGATTTTGCCTCTGCTCAGCAATATCTTGAGAAGTCTCTAAATTTGTATTTATTCTCTCATGTTCTCATAATCCATGTGCCTAAAGAAGGCGCTCCAGCCCTTCTAGATTCAACAGGACAGGAAGCAAATTTTGCCCTCTGTTACCCCAGTATAACCCATTACGTTGGTTGCACAGGTGTAACTCAGGGTAGGTCTACACGGCAATTATAAACCTGCGGCTGGCCCGAGCCAGCTGACTCGGGCTCATGGGGCCCGGGCTTAAGGGGCTGTTTAATTGCGGTGTAGATGACTGGGCTTGGGCTGGAGCCTGGTTTCTAGGACCCTGCAATGTGGGAGGCTTCCAGAGCTTGGTCTGCAGCCAATGTCCAAACACCAACATCGCAAAGCAATTAAACAGCCCCTTTGTCTGAGCCCTGCAAGCCCAAGTCAGCTGACACAAGCCAGCCACAGAAGTCTTTGCAGTGTAGACATGCCCTTAATGGCAGATTTACCCTCCCCAATATTATAATAGAGAAAAGTAAGGGAGCATAGCATGTCCATCAGAAGCATCATGCTGTATAGCTGTTATTTGTATGCCTTCACATTAGTTTACCTATTTGATTCCTAATTCAAATCTTTTCTCCTTTTTTCTTCTCACTTTGCCATCTAAAGAGTCTTTTGCTGTTCCTGACCTCAGCAATTCAAGAGGTGACTTCTGCATGCAGTTGTTCATTGATATTCACTTAACTCTTTGTTAATATTTGGATTTTAATACTGACTTACCTTCAGTTGTTTGCTGTGTATTTGTTTGCAATAATTACTGTTTATTTGCTAGACTTCACATCTTATTTAGATCCTGTAACATTTTTCCTTTTTAGTGCGCATCTGAAAAGTAAAAAGGCATTAAACTGAGTGGTGTTTTCCACCACTGATACTAGTTTGGCTTCCAGTCTCTAATGGAGCATTTTATACTTACTCAGAAAAAAAGCTTACAAACAGGGAGCAGTTCTGTTATTTATGCATGATAAATTTAATCTTGTGATTTTTGTTTTTGTTTGAATGCGAATGTCTTTACTAATAGAGATGAAAAGGTTTTACAAATATGTTTAATAATTATATACTGCAGGATTCCATTACTGAAGTAGTCATAGAGTTGAAGGACAGTAATTAGTGGAATCAGTATGTTAATCTTAAGTAGAATGGTAAAGTTACTTTAAGAATTTTATATACTTTACCAAACATAGATTACTACTCTTAGTAGGAAGCACAAGGTTTATATATTCTAAATATATATATTCATAGGAAAAAAGACCACTGATATCAGTGTAATCAGTAACTACACAACAAGTGTCGATCCATAGGAATTTAGATTCCTCAGGGAGGCTGTTTTGGTTATTTTTTACCAAAAGAATGATTGTATTCCATTGTTTGTGTCAGCACATCCCATAGGTGAACTGCAGCGCCTCCCACTTTTGGTGAGATGACCAAAATATTAAAACTCCAAATTTGGACAAAATAATAAAATGTTTAATGCATGGCATACCAGAAAGTTGTTTTGTGTTAAATGTCTTTGTGAAACCAGGAGCAGATTGCTCCAGAAGTAATTAACATAAGTTATGTCCTTATTACTAGTGGTCATGTTGTCTTCAGTACAATGTGTTGATTTTCCAGTACAATTGTACTTTGAGGGCAAAACACTAATACTAACTTTTTTTTTTTTTTTTAAACCCACTTCACACCGCAGGTTATCATTGGGATACATCAGATTGGATGCCAAGTGTTGAACTGCCCGGTATTCAGGAATACCCGAATTATGAGGTGGTTGAAGAGCCAGCTCCCCTTTACACAGATCCAAATGCCATAGATACAGATTACTATCCTGGAGGCTATGACATAGAAAGTGATTTCCCACCTCCACCTGATGACTTTCCTGCACCCGATGAGCTCCCGCCATTACCACCAGAATACAGTGACCAGTTTGAATCCATACAGCCACCCAGAGACATGCCGGCGGTGGGCAGCTTGGGTTCTTCTACAAGAAGCAGGCAGAGGTTCAACCTTAATCAGTACCTTCCCCATCACTACCCAGCAGATATGTCAGAACCTCAGAACACAACCAGTGGAGTCAACAGTAATTATAGAGAACCTTATGCTTCTTACACTTTAGGGTACAATAGAGACTTCGAAGCACCCACTGTAGACAACATGTCCCTGTCTGTGTACACTTCCACGGCTTCGTGCTCCGATGTGTCAGCATGCTGTGAAATGGGGTCTGAGGTAATGATGAGTGACTATGAGAGTGGAGATGACAGCCACTTTGAAGATGTGACAATTCCTCCACTTGATTCTCAACAACATACAGAAGTCTGACACTCACACTCAACAAAAGTGCCTAGGCTTGAATGAATTTTAAGGATTCTCGAAGAGCTTTTTTTTTTTTTCTTGGCAGCAGTGCTTGAATGCGTTTGTTTAGTGAGCTAAAACTGGCATGGCTGCACTGGATCATGCAGCTCATTTCAACATATTAGCCTATTTCCATTTCCTGACCTACTGTAATTGGACAGATCAAAGGTTTCCATTGGCTGTGCCATTTCTGAAAGTGTTTTTTGTACTTACTTTGTGTGTTAAATTTAAAACAAACAAACAAACCACATACCACTTCACCAAGTTAGCATGATACATGTATTTATATAGTTCTAATGCAAATTAATTTTCTCCAATCTTTTTTGTAAATTTTATGTACAGTTTTGATTTTAATAGTTTTAACTAGATTTTGTAGATATTTTGTGAATTTGTTTTCCACTGAATCTAGTGGTGTTAGTGTGCCATTAAACTAGAACCCTGACTATTATTATAATCAGGGCTTCACTGTATGTATTTTTTTTCCCCCCACTGAGGTTTGGCATTTCATTATAAGGATTTCAGCATGTTCATGCGATTCCAGCTGTACATAGGTTAGACGAGATCTGATATTTTCTGGGTCAGATATATGGAAATGTCTTAAATGGGTTGCTGTATTTTAGAATTGTAAACATTTTTCCCTTCTTGGAAAGTGTGTTGGGGACCCTCTGCATACCTGTTTAGAACCAAAACCACCATGACACAGTTTTTATAGTGTCTGTATATTTGTGATGCAATGGTCTTGTAAAGGTTTTTACTGAAAACTACCATTAGCCAGTCTTTCTTACGGACAATAAATTATTAATAAAATACTTTAGCTTTCCTCTGTGTATCTGTTATGTATTATACAAAAAAAGACAAGGCATTCAGTGCAGCTTTTTTGAAATCTCTATTTATTTTGTACTGTATAACATTGGCTCCAAGCAACACATTTTCCTTCTTCAAAAATCAAACTGCAGTTATGTTAGATGCCCACTAGATGGGAGTGTGCAACTACTTAATGTTTTTGTTTTGCTTTTTAAAAGAAATCTGGCTAGTATGAATAAATATAGGTACAAAACTTAAGTGGCCTTCTCGCTAGTTCACATTTTCTTTTAAAAACAGATTTGAATTAATTGAATTACCAAATGTCTAAATTGTGAAGCATTTAAAACCACATAAAAATCCATATAAAAAGCAATCTTCCAAAGCTAAGTATTTTTCACAAGCAACTTTTTTCCAGTATCATACATGCAACTTCTTACAAGTGTTGCCCAAAGAGTGCCTCAACGTTTTTTGTTGTTTTGTTTTCTTTCCTGCTAATTTACTTCCATTGTTCGAAGTTCCAGTGTTATTTCCTGCAGACCCTGCAGTGCTAAGCACTGTGTTACTGAAGAAAAAATCTACTACTGAAGTATTCATTATTGCATCATAGTTGGCTCAAAATATTTGGACTTTGATAAATATAAAATTTCTGCAAGGAAAGAAATGTGCCATGGTAGAACCAGCTACCTTGTTTGTACTTATTTATTTATTGCTCTGTGTTTGTTTATAGGACTAGAAAGGAGTTTGAAAAACAGAAGGGCCAGTTTTTTCTGGGTACAGAATAGGTGCACAGGTGGGGAGAGGAAGCAAGATGCTTTTCTTCCCCTATCCCTTGCACAAGGAACCTTCCCTCCATGTACCACTAGGGGCTCAATCCACATTTAAGAAGGTGGCGAAGGGGCTGGGCCAAAGTGCCCTGCTCTGGTCCTGGCCTAGTGAACAGAGGGAAGTTGGCTGCACCATCCCCACAGATGATATGCCTGCACATTCCCCTGTGTGCCAGTGAGCACTGGGACAGTGCAGCTCCATACCTTTGTCAACATGAGCTAGTAACTGCTGTCAGAGATAATACCACTCACTGACAAATGTATAAAATGGCCAAATAAAGGGAAATGTAAAAACACAATGCCCTACTGTAGTCAAAAAAAGCAAACGGATGAAAAGCAAAACAAGAGAAGGTGATGCTATTATTGTTACATCTCATTGGAATGTTAAGTGGTGTATTGGTCACTGCAATACACTGCACTACACAGGATGTTATTGCCATGGGGTTTGTCTGAATTCTTATTGAAGTAAATGGGAGTCTTTCCATTGATTGCAGTGTGTGTTGGATTGGGTCTATACATAGGATGCAGTTTAAGGTAATGAACATAATGTTAGAAAGGAAGAGACTTCAAGGTGACCTTACAGAGGTTTTAGAAAATATACACCTCTATCCCGATATAATGCAACCCAATATAATACGAATTCGGATATAATGCGGTAAAGCAGTGCTCCGGAGGAGAGGGGCTGCGCACTCCGGCGGATCAAAGCAAGTTCGATATAACACGGTTTCACCTATAACGTGGTAAGATTTTCTTGGCTTCCGTGGATAGCATTGTATCGGGGTAGAGATGTACATGTAAATTATAGAAATAAATTGTATCCATGGGTGAGGCTTTCAAAATCTAATGATCATCATTAGAAAATGTAGGAACTCATTAGTAAATATGGAATACAGAACTATTATCTGCAAAGATTAATAATCATGGAATAATTCACACTGTAATACTATGCAATTGCAGTTGAAAGTGTAAATAAACGAGAATTATAGTAGATTTTTTTTTATGACTAAGACTAAAGAGACTAAGATTAAGATAAATCAAATAAAGGACTAGGATTTTGGATCAGATGGCCTTTTTCCTTTATATCTCATACCTGAGAAAAGAACTGTGATAGAACAATTACTTCAAAGAAGTTTGTTAATAAAGCATCTGCTTATTAAATGGCTTAGCATAGTTAATAACTCTTGTGTTGAGAAGCTGATTGGGAAGTTTACTGGTCCAGTCTTTAATAAACTGAGCCAGTATTTTGGGTCAGTTCCTAACTGTCCTATTAATGGTAAAGCCAGTGGCTGTTTTTGCTCAGGATTGCTTAGTGCTTGGTTCTCTGTGGGATTCAACTTTGAAAGTTAACCAGCATGGGACCCTCTCAATGGGGGGAAAACATGACTGTGCACAAACTAAAGCTGCTTCCTAATTGGCTTGACCTCAATAGAAGGGAGAGGTGACAATCCGTCTAATATACCGGACTGACATTTTCTTAAGCAACTGAAACAGAACAAAAACGGTGTGCAAGATCAAAGGGTTGATATAAACAGGTTCATACATTTTTATTCAAAGAGTTTGTGCCTTTAACAGAAATTAAGTTTACATCTAAATCAACTGAGTTGGGAAAACCTGAAAGTCAGTCAAGGTTTTTAGTCTATGAAGAAAACTGCTGTAAATTTTGAGACTAAAAAAACCCAAACTTAATTATGGTTTGTGAAAAATGGAAAGCAGTAGAAAGTAAATGGAATCTCAGTGCAGACAATGTCATTTGAAAAAGGTAACTATCAAAAATAAAGGATAGCATAGAGTTACTCTCAAGTGATGCAAGGCATTCAACTCTGGTTCAATTCCTTGCATCAATCAGGACCAACTCCATATTATACTTTCCATATATTTATCTAATCTCAGATTGAATACCTCTAATGACTTTACAATGACTATATTATTAGGCAAAGTATTCCACCCACTGGTTGTCTTTTACAGACAAAAGGGCGTTATACTGATCATTGATTTAAAGCAGAGTTTCTCAAACTCTGGGTTGGGACCCCAAAGTGGGTCGCAGCCCTGTTTTAATAGGGTCACCGGGGCTGGCATTAGACTTGCTGGAGCCCGGGGCCGAAGCTCAACCCCCACTGGCCAGGGCCAAAGCCCAAGGGCTTCAGCCCTGGGTGGTGGGACTCAGGTTACAGGCTTCAGCTTTGGCCCCGGCTGGGGTGGTGGACTCGGGCGGGCTCAGGCTTGGGTCCCTTCTCCTGGGGTCCTGTAGTCAGAAGGGGTCTTGATGCAAAGAAGTTTGAGAACCCCCCGATTTAAAGGAAGGGAGAGATCAAGGGTAGAGAAGATGATGTGCTGTAAAAGTATTTGAGAGGGGGAAGAATTAGCCTGCCCTCTAACAGTAGAGAAGAAATGCCGTACATGCTGCCTTGTCATGAGTGCCAGAATCTGTTGCCTTCTTTGGTTATGATCAAATTTGTTATCGTCATTAAAAATACAATGAATATGTTGAGGAATGCAAAATAAACAAACAACCTGGTGAAACTTTTAACCCTTTTAAAACACAGTTGCTATCTGGGTGGATCTCGGTCCCTCAACACTCAGGAATGGTGGGGAGTCTGAATGCTGCCATGGAACTGCCATTTGATTTCAGAGGGTTCCTTTTCAAACTTTTGTACTCTCTACTCCTGAAACTGAAAAAAACTTTCAGGGAACACACCAAGGCTCTGCAGTTACTGCAATAGTTTTAACATGATGCACCAAAAGGCAACTGCTTTTCCTAACTGGTCTCAGACACCCTCTAAAGGCAGGGGTCGGTAACCTTTCAGAAGTGGTTTGCCGAGTCTTCATTTATTCACTCTAATTTAAGGTTTCATGTGCCAGTAATACATTTTAACATTTTTAGAAGGACTCTTTCTCTAAGTCTATGATATATAACTAAACTATTGTTTGTGTGAAAAGTAAATAAGGTTTTTAAAATGTTTAAGAAGCTTCATTTAAAATTAAATTAAAATGCAGAGCCCCCTAGACCGGTGGCCAGGACCCAGGCAGTGTGAGTGCCACTGAAAATCAGCTTGCGTGCCATAGGTTGCCTATCCCTGCTCTAAGGAATCTTAAGTTTGTTTTGAGGGCTTATTTTGACACGAGGGATGTGTGGCGGCATTTTTACTGCTTTTAGTGTGAACTACAATAACTACAAATATTAATCTTGGTGGGCTAGACGGTGCCATTATGTCTAGCCCTGTTTAAGGAGAAGTGTATAGCTATCCTGCCCCTCAGCAGTCCAGGGAAAGAATTTCAGTACTGCCAATCCCAAATGTTCGGAACAGTGAGTATAATAGGCTGTCAATTGTGGTAAATTAGTGTGGAGAACAGTAGGGTCTATATAACCTGCTCTCTCCACTCCCAGAGCAGCGATCTAGAGAAGCCCCAGGGTAGAGTGTAGGGTTTTACACCTATTTTTCCCCCAGCACAGTCTGGCCCTGCACCAACCATTGTTACTACTACATAAATAGCTCCACAAAAAGAATTGGGAAAACTTCAACAAATAAATGCCATACAAGATCTACATTAAAGAAAGTTGAGGGTACAAAGTTAGCTACTCAAAAGTCAGGAAAATACCCCCGTTAAAGTTTTGCATCCTTGTGTCTATGCATTTACACACAGCTTAAGAGGCTGAGGGGTAGTGACATGGCACTTGCAGAGCATGCTGCAGTGATCATCATTGTTTCTTGGACATTTGGGTTGGGAGCTGGGTTGATGAGTAAAGGGGTCAGACATGTTAGCATTGCGGGTGACAATTGTTACATGTGTAGTCCACAATGGTGTGAGTTCTGTTTTTGTAGCTGTGCATTTTAATTGCTCTAAAAGTGCCCAGAGTCAGGGATAAGGGCTTTCAGTTAAATCAAAAGAAAAACTAATTAATTAGACAATCATTATTTTAGCAGGACCTCGTTTCAGTCAATGTACAGGGTAGATGGCACATAGACATTCCCTATGAGACTTCTCCCTGCATTGTGTCTAATAGATTAAAATAAACACAGAGAAAAAATTGCTTACTTTATGTACTTCCTACCCCCCCCCCTTCTGTTGGGCTTATTATAGTTACAGGTGTGTGGGGGGGGGGATTAAATGTGCTCTAAGAGGGGCAACACGAAGATTCTCATGCTCCCTTCAATTTGTTCACACACTGTTGTAGTTTTCACTTGTTCTTTC